TCCCTCGCTTCCCTCCCTCCCTCCCTCCCCTTCCTTCCAGCCTCCCTGAAGAACGCCGTGCCGCCTTCCGTCCCTTCCGCTTTAACCTGACGGGGTTGTCTCTTCCAACACTGCTTCCCTCTGCCACCCACCCGTCCTCTTTCTGTCTCTCCTTCTCTCTTTCCTAGTTCCATCTTTCGCTCATTATTTCTCTTCTTTTTTTTGTGTTTCTTTGTGTTTTTTTTTCATGGGTAATTATCGTCTTCCGTGTCTGTTTCCCTTTTTCTTTGTTGTGTTTTTTTTTTCTCTCTCTCTCTCTTGTTCGCTTTTAGACGATTAATATCTCCTGTGTTTGCTTTCTGTTCTTTACTTTACTTCTTCTCCTCCTCCTCCTCCCTCTTCTTCTTCTCTTCCTCCTCCTCCTTCTTCTTCTTCATCTTTTTCTTCTTCTTCTTCTTCTTCTTCTTCTTCTTATTATTATTATTATTACTATTTTCTTCTTCTTCTTCTTCTTATCTTCTTCTTCTTCTTCTCCTTTTTTCTCCTCCTTCTCCTTTTGCTTCTCCTTCTTCTTCTCCATCTCCATCTCCTTCTCCTGCTCCTCCTTTCTCCTTCTTCTTCTTTCTCCATCTCCTTCTTTCTCCTTCTTCCATAGCTTCATTTCTTTTTCGCGTCTGCTTTTGTTCGCGTTATCCTGCTCTATTGTTTTCATTCTGGGTGATAACCATCTCTTTGTCTCTCCTTTATTGTGTCCTTTTTTACGCTTTTTAGGAATGACTGACCTAATTTTATCTTAGCAACTACTACCCTATTTTTTTCTTGCTCTTAATTTGATCCTTAGTACTTTATATTTTCTTTTCTATTACAGCTACTGCTACTATTATTACTATTTTTTTTACTATTCTTTAAAACAGTTTTTTTAGCATCTACTCTCTACGCTTCTCAAAAAACAGTATCTATGCCATCTATCAAATTTTTCATCAATTTAATTCATCAGTGTTCATTAACTCAACTATCTTTCTTTCTTCTACTTACTTATCATTCTCTTATCTTATACCTTATTCCCGTATTGTCATAAATGGCAATAAATAATCAAATGAATAATTCTTTGTTCTTTTCTTAATTAATTAGTTTTGGTTTTAGAATAGTTCTCCAAAAAGCTTCGTTTTCTTTCCATATCATCTTATGTTATGTTAAGCCTTATTTTGATCTTAATATTCATAAACTTCATTATTTACGTCGTCTATACTCACTGTTTAAACCATCATCATATTTCTTACACAGCTAGCTATCTATCTATTTAATTACCAATAAGTATCTATTCACCCATCTCTTTATTCGCCTCATCGCTATCTATATATCTATTCGGTTTATCTTTTAATCAGTTCAATCTCATATTATCTCAATTACTTATATACCATCCAAACCTTCCCCAATAGATAACAAACTAATAACATAACAAACAAACTAAATAAACAACTAAACCTCTCTGCCTCTGCCTTCATTCACCCGGCATCCCCACGAGATAAAATCTTTTACCTGATGCTACTACATCCCAGCATCCACAGGGTCTCTCCATCACCGGCGTCACGTCCCTAAATCTTATATGTTATTGCCCGTTACATGGGCCTCTCTTCGTCGTAACGGGGTTTAAATATATTCCCTTGTTTTGTTGTTCGTATGCTATCTTTTTCTGGTTATTATTAATAATTTGGGAATTCTCTTGATGCTGAGTTTCATCCTTGACGAAACTATGCTCGTTTGCACATGACCCACGTACATGCATATGCACATACATAAACGAACACTTAAATAGTCACACTCATAGAAACATAAGTACACGCACACGCAGACACACATACACATACACACGCACACGCACACACACGCACGGAAGCACGCACGTTGGCCGACAGACACAGGCGCACACGCACACACACACACACACACACACACACACACACACACACACACACACACACACACACACACACACACACACACACACATACACACACACACACACACACATACATACACGGAACACTCCCTAAACATACACCACATACATTCAGACATGCTGCATACACCCAACGCACCCACATACACGCATACATACACGCATACACATACCTTTATATACATACTCAACGTAAACACACATATACACACGAAAATTATACGCACACAATAAAAATCTACAATATATAAACACACACAAAATAACAAAACTATCAGCGATAATTAACATTTCGAACTAACATAAGCTACACATGTGAAATACCCCATGTTCAAACAACACGGGTGGGGGGGAAATTGACTAAAAATACAGACTGATACACACGAAGCAGACTCATAGAAAGACGCTCACAGACACCCACAAAGACGCCTAATTCAGCAACAGCACAAACCCACATACGATCGAAAAAGCTGCTTCAGCCACACAGCAATCCACTCACAGCAAACGACCCTTCACACAAACGAGCCAACGACCCATTAGGGCTGTTAGAGTCCCACTTACCAGGAGTCTTATAAGAAGAACTTGTAGGAACCTGAAGGAAGTCGTTGGAGGAGGAGTTCCTGTTGCTGTTAGTCGTCGGTTCCCTGTTGTTGGTATTTCCTGAAGCGGCTGCGGCTGCAGCGACGACGGCGGGAGGGGGGGCCAGGGAGATGTGCTCGGGGAGGGGGGAACTCGCGACGCCCGTGTGCAGCGCCTTCTTCACCAGCCCCGTTAGCGATGCCAGCTGCCGCTCCATCTGTTCGACGCGCAAGCTGTAAAACGCCGACCTAGTGGTTGGTCAAGCAAGCGGAGGCTTGGGTTAGTATTAGCAGAGTTAGGCTTGGTGGCTACCTGTTAAGACTGCTTCTAAAAGCACACACTACATGATCTGGTATTAATACTATACAGAATGTCACAGTTAGAATTAATTCATCTACTTTTAGAATCTACTAAATGAAGGATCAGCAGGTTTGTTGTCTATCCTATGGAATCAAACAATTATTTACAAGCAAATACAATCATTGGATATTTTTGGCAAAACAATGTTAAGATTGAACACGAGCGAAATAGTTGTAAAAAACGAGTAGGAAAAGAAAAGAAAAGAGAAAAAAAAACTAGAAAAAAAAAAACAGATGAAGATATACATATCGAAGAGGAAGAGTAGGAATGACGAGAAGAAAACAAAGAAAATAATAAAAGCCCATTCTTAAAGTCATTCAAGAAAACCCTTGTAAGAAACAAGTCTACCAGACACGAGAGAGAATTCCTAAGACCCTTTTCCCCCGTTCGTAAAGAGTCAGCGGAGCGACAAAGAGAGAGAGAAAGGAGGGGGAGAACGGGGGGGGAGAGACACGAAGACAAAGAAAGAGACACCTCGACAGACACAGCGAGAGAGAGACGGTTAGATAGACAGATATATAGATAGAGGGAGAGAGGGAGAGGGAGAAGGAGAGAGAGAGAGAGAGAGAGAGAGAGAGAGAGAGAGAGAGAGAGAGAGAGAGAGAGAGAGAGAGAGAGAGAGAGAGGAAGAGAGAGAGAGAGACAGACAGATAGGCAGACAGACAGAAATATAGTGAAATAGACAGGGACGGAGACAGACAGAGATAAAGAGAGAGAGAAATAGAGAGAGAAGAAGAAAAAATAAAAAACAGTACTTTAGAAAACCACGAGAGGAGTACCATTGAAACCCTTTCCGTTTCTTAAAGAGGGAATATTACGGTAAAACTGAACACTTAGTTAAGTGTTTCCCGTCGGCATGGCAATACTTGTGCTGGTGAAGAAGCCACTAAACACAGACACTCTTCTTGTAGACTAACCCTAGAGGCCCACTTAAATACAAAGCTGCTAATTAATGGTAGGAATTATAGTTGTGACAAGGATAGTTCGTCTAAAGAAGAAAAAAAAAAAAGATATTCGTGTAGTGAAATGTTTAATGTTCCTAATTGGATAATCTCCCCTGTTGTTTTTTTAATGATACCTTTGGGAAAAACGTGAAGGGTATCATACAGGTTAATACACCATTTATTATTCCTGTGTCATTGTATTTTCCGTACATTCATTCATTTCTTTCGTAGATTGTATATGTATATATATTTTCTGCACATCATCCATTTTCCAAACACTGAAGAACATTAAACCATCATTACACCATCCAAATCCCACACACACACACACACACACACACACACACACACACACACACACACACACACACACACACACACACACACACACACACACACACACACACACACACACACATACACACACACAAACACACACAGACGAAAAAAAAAAGATCCACCATCCCCCCCGCCCCCCCCACTCTCTCAAAAATGGTTGCCTGGTCCTTACGGCTTCCTTGTGGTCGGTTGACAAGTTGGAAATATATCTCTCCCGTTTGACTCTCCTTGGACGTGACGAGGAGCGATTTTTCGTCATATTCGGAGGGAAAAATATTAAATAGAACGAAAGAGGGTAGGTAAGCAGGGCGTAGGAGGGAGAAGGAGGGAGAAGGAGTGGGGGAGGGAGAGAGGGAGTGGGGGAGAGAGGGAGTGGGGGAGAGAGGGAGTGGGGGAGAGAGGGAGTGGGGGAGGGAAAGAGGGAGTGGGGGAGAGAGGGAGTGGGGGAGAGAGGGAGTGGGGGAGGGAGAGAGGGAGTGGGGGAGAGAGGGAGTGGGGGAGGGAGAGAGGGAGGGGGGGGGGGAGAAAGAGAAATGGAATGATGGAGAGCGGAAGAGAAATGAGAGAGATGGTGGTAAAGACCATAATGATGATGATGATGATGATGATGATGATGATGATGATGATGATGATGATGATGATGATGATGATGATGATGATAATGATAATGATGGTGGTAGTGGTGGTGATGGTGATGATGATGATGATGGTAGTAATAGTAGTAGTAGTAGTAGTAATAATAATAATAATAATAATAGTAATAGTAGTAGTAGTACTAGAAGTTGTAGTAGTAATAGTAGTTGTAATAGTAATAATAATAGCAATGAAAATAATACAGG